CCCCCACCCCCTCGATGGTTTTCTTCAGATTTGATTATAAGAATTCAATTGTACATAATTCACACTGGTATGTTGGAGAAAAAAAAACATTCTAAGTTGGTTAAACCTGGACCTGCATCAGTACATGATGTCTGACCCCCCCAACCCCTCCTCTCCCCCCGACTGAGAACACAGCTGGCAGTGGTTCAACTCCTCACCCCTGGGGATCGTTTTTCTCTCACAGGCCTAATATGGTCCAGACTTTTACCTCCATATAAACCACAATTGGACTGAACCACCACACGGGCCGGGGAAGAACAGAACAGAACAGAACCCAATCATTAGCCTTATGTGGTCACAACATCGGAGATATGATAACAATAACAATATCAAGCAGCCGATCTCTGATCAGTGTCCAGTGTCCACAGTGGTACTGGGTCTAAAGGGGAAATCTGTCTCTCTGGTCTGTTCACCATGACAACAACAAAGAGAGTTCAAAGGTCAGGGCAGCAGTGATTAATCCAGAGGATCATCTGAAGGACAGTCCGAGAGAGAGAGAGAGAGAGAGAGAGGGAGTGGAAGGATTATTGGAGCAGAAGTGACACAGAAGTGAGTCTCAGCTGGAGTCAGTCTGAACATCTTTTTTATCCCACTTATTTTTACACCAATCACGTTGTGTCTACGTTGTGTGGTACGGAGGACGTTGATTGGTCAGTGTGTTAGGATTTTAACTATTAAAGCCAAAAAAAAAAAAACTGAACAAACTGATGTACCGTCACAGTCAGGGTTGTGTTAGGATTTTAACTATTAAAGCCAAAGTCACAGTCAGGGTTAACAAAGACCGTCGTAGTCAACATTCACACAGCAGGAGGCTTTCCCAGAATCCCCGGCCCAGTAACGAGGTTCAGAAAACTAACTCAGATTCCTGAGCCCACTGCTGGTCTGACACTGTTTTTGAACAGCACCATCTGTAGGTACCAGGAAGAAAACCATTAGGGAAAACCTATAAATATCTAACGGTTAGCCAAAGTACGGTGTGTTGTGGAGTGTGTTCTGTTTGTGTTTAGTTTTCACAGATTTGACTAGAAGTGACCAGAGAATTCAGTTGTACATAATTCACATCGGTTGGAGTTGGTTAAATCTGGACCTGCATCACAACATGACGTCTGACTGCACTTCTTACGTAACACCCAGTAATGTCATCTAGGAAGCCCAGTATGGCCCAGAGCCCGGCCCAGAGCCCAGCCCAGAGCCCGGCCCAGAGCCCGGCTTAGAGCCCGGCCCAGAGCCCGGCTTAGAGCCCGGCTGTACACAGGAGTGGACACAACTGAAAATTAAATTCTGTGAATTGAGTGAGACGCTTCACAGACGCCACTGTAATAGGTTTCTAATTGAATTCAGGAGCCTGTGATGCCTTCACTGACTCTCACCATGTTCACCAGTAGGCGCTCCCCCGTGGGGTGGATGGCCAGAGCTTCGTCGTACAGCGCCTTGGCCTCGTCCAGTTGGCCCCGCTGCTCGGCCAGACGGCCCCGCTGCAGCAGCAGGGAGTGAGAGTTGGGGAAGAGGGAGCTGGCCTCAGTGATGCAGAACTGGGCTTCCTTCAGCCGGCCGTCTGCCATGAACAGCTCCCCTGGTGGACGATAGAGGGGTGGCAGGGAGAAGAAGAAGGAAATGTAGAAAAATAAAGCAGAATATAAAAATGTACAGGACAAAACAAGAAGAGACAGGAGAGAGCAGGGGTGAGGGGTGGGAGGAGGTGGGGGGGCATCAGGGGGATGATTAAGGACAAGTATCAGAGTTCTCCCTCAGTAACAAGTGAAGTTCAGCATCAAACTGAAATGTCAACCCTGCAGCACAACACACTACAGCTAATTACACACACAGACACACACACACTGATACACAGCGGGCTGAGTGGGGGCATGAAGCGCCTGGGAAGTCAGAGTCTTGCCTAAATATGGTCATCACATGCTAAAGCTGCCGGCTTCCCTTCTGTACCGCTGCTGAGATGATGAGGACGAAGCACAGACTCTGTGCTTCACAGTCTGAATCTGCGTGTGGATTATAGTCAGATTAAGGTAAAGGAAGGATTATGATTAGTCACATATTAGTAATTGGCATCGCTCAGTCCAAGTGGCCTGAGGTGAAATCTATGAGGAAATCTGTGTGTTTATGTGTGTGTGTGTTCAGTGAGGATGTGAGATGCAAGAAGAGGAGGAGATGGGAAGTGACTGATATAAAGAGGAATGCTGGGAAGAGGGAGGAGGAGGAAGGGGATGGGGGTGGGTCACTGGCCCAGTCTGCAGTAATGGTACACACTCCAGGGCTCACATGAACACGTACACACACATGGTTTAAGTGTCGGACTACAGCAGGTTGGGGAGAGTCGGGGGGGCGGGGGTGCCTCTTGGCTCTGTCACCCCACTGATG